GGTGCCAGAATTCTGACTAGAACCAGAAGATCTGAGCATATCACACCAGTCCTCAGGTCCTTACACTGGCTTCCAGTTATATTTAGGATTGATTTTAAAGTACTTTTACTCGTTTATAAATCACTCAATGGCCTAGGACCTAAATACATAGCAGATATGTTCACTGAATATAAACCTAACAGACCACTCAGATCATTAGGATCGAGTCAGTTAGAAATACCAAGGGTTCACACAAAATAAGGGGAGTCCGCTTTTAGTTATTATGCCGCCCGCAGTTGGAATCAGCTTCCAGAAGAGATCAGATGTGCTAAAACATTAGCCCCATTTAAATGCAGACTCAAAACTCATCTGTTTAGATGCACATTTATTGAATGAACACTGTGCATTGTCCTAACTGATTGCACTATATTTTATGTACTGTATAATCATTTTCTATTCTTAACTGTTTTAAATTCATTTTAAACCTCTTAAATCAATTTTTAAATCATTTTCAAAGTTTTTAAATTCCTTGTTTTATTGTTGTGATTTTTTTTTTCTTTTCTTTTATGTGAAGCACTTTGAATTACCATTGTGTATGAAATGTGCTATATAAATAAACTTGCCTTGCCTTGCCTTGCCTATGTTGATTTGTTGCTCAGGAAACATTTCTGATTATATGACATAGGGAAAACAAGAACTCATGAGTTTATCAAATGATTTTCAGAAGATTTTCTTAAATGTCAACTCTATTGTTTTATAGATGAGTGCATCCAAACCCCAGGAAAGGTAATTCTGCACAGATTCCTAAAATGATTTGATAACGAACTGTGCTGCATCACTTACACAATTAACATCTATGACAAACTGGATAATTCGGAGAATACATTATCAAAATGAATTGTAGAATAAACTATTCAGATCTAGAATATTCATATCAAATAGGTGAAGTTAAATTCAGCACTGCTCTGTCTGTATCTCGGCTGCAGTGGTGAGGTGAGATTCGGACACTCTCTGAATAAGAAGGAGGAAGAGTTTGTGGCCAGAAGGAGCAACACTGTTTTACAATGCCTGCAGAAGTTTAAGATACGCTGCAGTCAGGTAACACATCTTACGTTATACTTCATATATCTAACTGGTTATACCAGGGGTCGGCAACCCGCGGCTCCCGAACTCTTTCCCATGCACTTTTTCTCGGGCAAGTGTGTTCCCGTAGAGGTTTTCAAGGGCCAATGTGAATAAATCTAGATTTAAATTAAAAGAGACAATATATTCGTCGTTTTGGATACGGTATTCTTATCCAAAACTATGTGAACATCACCGAGCGCTGAACACTCTCATGCGCTGTATGTTTCATTCATACTCGAAGCCGAAGGGCGCTCTCGTACAGAAAGTCTAAAACAGACTCATATGATAGAAGTAACTTTTGACGCCAGGAAATCCCTTTGGACAAAGGCATCCAGCTGTAGCTGTAGCTAAGATGAATAACAAGCATAAACCTGCTTACTGACCTGACTGAGGACGATGGCGAATGATTTGCAGATCCTCAGCACCACTGACAAACATCTAATCTTGTAAAATGTGTGGTAAGTACTGCCGCACCATGGATAAGTGCGACCGCGAATCTCGAAAGTGAAAGTGAAACTAAAATGGATCGTGCATTCAAAAGCAGTTTAGTGGCTCCCTGATGCCCGCAATTTATATACAATATAATTACCTAATGATATAACTGCGAGAGACATTATTCAAATATGTATTTTTCTCCAATCTGGTATTTATTCCCTTGAGGGGTTCCGTATACACGTCATTTTCATTCCGAACACGGTATTGGGATGCGGCGGATTGCGGGGGGAATGGGGGGGGGGGAGGGTCACGATATCAGCTCAACATCGTGTTGTCTATCAGCCATGGCATCGTCTATCGGCCCAATACGGTGGCCGAGAAGTGCAAAGCAAATCACAATTCTGAAAACAAAATAACAAATTACAAACGCAAATGCA